TCCAAATTTATCTAAATTTTTTATTTATATTTCTTTATTTATTGAATTATCGTACACTGTAAATGTCGTTAGACCCTGTGAAATCCATCTAGTTATTTAAACTATTACCACCCAAAAAGAATGTTTTAGTCATAACCCTGCCCCCGGAATAGTCATTTGAAAATGTGCCTTTTTGCAAAAATGGTATAAATAATTGGAATTTTGGAGCCCATCTCTTGCACATCTCTTAAGGCTATAAAAACTCACATTTTGGGAAAGTTTGGTAAGATTTTATTAATTATTTAAAAAGTTATTAACAATTAAAGAAAAAGCACTTTTTCCTTTTAATTTTGCAATAAATTTTTTGTTTATAAAGCAATTTTAACTTATATAGTCTCATTTTAAAGATGAGTTTCTCTAGATCAAATTTCTGTTGAACATTTTTTGCTAAGATTAATAGTTTTTTTACCATAACGCGAACGACGAATGGCGAATTTTTTACCTATTTGTTGATAAAAAAAAACAATGTCGCTATATTTTTTTCATGACCAATTTGATGAAACGCCTCTTGTAATATCATTCCCAAAATTTTCCAACAATAAAATCACGCCCAGTAATTTTCTCAATAATTTTTCACCTTTATTTCTTGCTCTAAAGTACATTATTCCCGAATACACAATTGATAGGAATCCACAACAAATGGTGGTTAAGTGGTTATATGTAATCGTTGCCACCAACAAAGTCTTCGAAAGCTTTCCAATTTGAAAGGAAAAATGTAAAAAAATACATATGTTCTTCGAAAACGATTTGCTCAATCCTAGGTAAGTGCTTATGAAATAAATGAATGATGGAATACATTATTGTGTTCCTTTCCAATAATTTATGTCAATGATTATGCAGTACTAGGAATGCTAAAGTTTAAAAATTATTAATAACTCACCATATGTGCGGAATGTTTGTACCACTGCTCCAACTGAAAGCAAAAAAGAAAAATTGATTAATTCAATACATACAGTAAATTTTTATTATTACGTATTTCCAATAATTTCTGTAAATTATGCAGGATTAGAAATACTTAAAAATTAATAATAACTCACTTCCTGTGTCGATCCTTTGATCCACTAGTCCTCCTAAAAGCAAAAAAAAAGAATAATTAATACAATGTAAACAGTAAAATAACTTGCATATTTAGAAAAGGTAGGCTATTTAAGGGATTATATATAATCAGTGGAGAAAATTTCGGTAACAATACAAAACTACAATTCACACTAAACGTAATTACAAGTTAGCTTTTATATTCACAAAAAAAATAAATAAAACATAGTCATAATAATCCAATAAAGATGTCGTTTATAAAAAAATCCAAACAGGATGATTTTTGCGCATTACATGACAAAAAAATCGTTTAGCACTGGACTGGTCTTGTAAACATTTTTGTTTTAATAACTTTAATAAAAGTTGGAGAGGAGTAAATGTTGTACAATTTGGCTGTATAAATTTTTTTTATTATCTCGACTACTTAACTTAAGTTACGGCGCATTTATTTAGACCTAAGTCACGATCTGCATGAAACGCAACAAATTACATATGTTCTACGAAAACAATTTGTTCAACCCCAGGTAAGTGCTTATGAAATAAATAAAAGATGGAATAAATTATTGTGTTTAAAGGAACACATATTATATGTCAATTATGCAGTACTAGGAATACTAAAGATTAAAAATTAATAAAACTCACCATATGTGTCGAACGTTTGTGTCAATGCTCCTCCTGAAAACAAAAAACAACGATTGATTAATTCAATATAGACAGTAAATTTTTATAAATAGACAAATATATTGCATATTTAGAAGAGGTAGGCTATTTAACGGATTATAATCAGAGAAGAGAATTTCGGTAACGATATAGAAGTATAATTCATATTAAGCGAATACTAATTACTAATTGTTTTTATATATACAAATGAAATACAAATAAATAAAACGTAATCATAATAATTTGACACTTCGGTTAGTAAATAAGACGCTTAGGTAGCAGGGGCATCAAGATTTATGTAATAGTTCCTGGTTTCGTTCGTTCGTCAGTTCATCTCACACATTAATGTATTAAACATAAAGAAATTTAAAATAACTTGATGTGAAGCGATTTTTTTGGGTTGGAGTTCTTATCAAACAAACCGACTCTACAGAAACTTTACTGGATATTTTTATTATTTTATTATTTTATTATATGATCTAATTTTTAGGTTCAATTAGTGTAATACTTCTATGCGTGAGGNACACTAAATGTACTGGGACATCCGGGATAATTTTTCGAAAAATACCTTTGGTATTCCGAGTACTTACAAGATTACAATACTTTTCATCATTGGTAACCTACTTTAAAACGTGTTTAAAGTTATTTATGCAAGCGAGAAATTTAAGAAAATCGTACTGGTGGTGGTGATAGGGGAAGCAGAGAGCGCGGCCGCTTCGGCCTGCTCGAAATTGAATCGGCGAGTTCAAAACCGCGATGCGTTTAAAAATTTTTAATATCTCACCTTCTAGAGGTCTGATTTTGATGATTTTTTTTTTATTTTAGCGTATTTCAAATGCCTATCTTTGTTTAATTAAGGGGGGAGGAAATGTGGTAAATGAGAATTATTTATCTTTCAGCCCCTTAGTAACTTAATGTATGTACATTTTTGTATTTGTCACGCCCTGTACGTTTATTCATGTTATTATTAGAATACCTTTTTTGTTCCTTGTAAATATATAGCTGTGTGTGTCCTGAAATAAATATTTTAAAAATCAATACCTTTTTTAAATACTATCTAGTAGCATACACTCGGCAAGAACGCTACAAAACCGACATGTGAAAGTCATTTGCAGGTCGTGTAGAAGTCAAATCCTTCTTTTGATCCCTCGGCCGATGTATCGGCTAAGCAGCGAAATATCGTATATATTACCTCTATAAAAGTTCAGGGGAATTAGTCCCTCACGGGAAAAAATACGTACTTAACAGTTGAGTGTGATTTCGTGAAATGATATGTTCATAGTCCAAAATGAGAAATCAGTTGAGTGTTTATAAAAGTTATTTAAGAAAATTGAAAATAAAATATTAATTTCAACACCCTGTATCTCAGAAATGAAGCATTTCCGGACAAAGGTTTATATAAACTTTTTTCTTCGTATCTCAAAGTTGACATTTTTGCGAAAATTATGATTAAAATAATTTTATAAATTCAACAAATGCGCATAATTTATTGAAGAAAATAATAACAAAACTATTCTGTGTTGTCTTCCTACTGTTACACATTTTTCAATATTTTTTCTAAATTTTTCATAAACTAAGTGAATTGTATCCTAGTTTATGTCGGCTATTGCTTCTGATATTTTCTCCTATAAAAAGTTTAAATTATCTTGTAAATCATGGACATAAACTACAAGTATCCTCATAAAAAGAAATCAAGAAGTGTTATTGTGTTCCATTCCAATAATTTCTGTCAATTATGCAGTAGGTACTAGAAATATTATAGTTTCTAAATTAATAACTCACCTCTTGTGGTGATTGTTTGTGACACTGGTTGTCCTGGAAGCAAAAAAAAAGATTGATTAATTCAATATAAACAGTAAATTTTTATAAGCAGGCAAAAATATAGCATATTTAGAAGAGGTGGGCTATTTAACGAATTATAATCAGAGCAGAGAATTTCGGTAACAATACAGAACAATAATTCATACTAAGCGTAATTACAAATTGGTTTTTATATATACAAATAAAAATTAAATAAA